GGGGGAGGGGTGTTTTGTCCTGAGCCTGTAAAAGCAGGCTCAGGACGTGGCATTGGTCCCGGGCATTCCAAAAGCTGCCCGGAACCAGACAGAGCGGCGCCAGCCTTTTGCGCATGCGCAAGGCATGAAAGAGCTCTGTTCCTATTGGTTGACATTGTCCGGGTTTCTGGCCATATAAAAAGGCCTGAGTGCCTTTTGCTTTTGCTTGGTTGTTGTAGAAGGAGAATAAAGTGTTTGTTCAGCATCGCCACGTGTCTTCATCATTCTCACGCGAACGAAGTACACAACACAAACATCCTCCTTTGTTTTATGAGAGGTAAGAGAGAAAACTATAGCCAAATGCAGAGTTGCCATTTTAAATGCTTGGATGGCATGAAGCTGTAACCATCATCTCTGGTCAGCCATGTTGATTGACAGTAATAAGCAGGGCTTTGTTTCTCATAGAACGCCCAGAACGGAGTTCCGGCACCTTTTTTGGATGGAACCTTGTAGGGTAGGCAAGGCGGGTTGTATGACGTGTGTGAGTTCCGGCACCTTTTTTTTTTTTTTAACAAAAAAAGCACTGGTAATAAATATGGTAGTTGATAACATTCAAGAATCCCAAACTGGAAGAGACAAATCACTATTGCATGTGTGCATATGTATTGCATACACATAGGTATGTGTGGGTTGCACAACGACCCATGATGCTTGTTATAGGACAAGGGGTGTTGCAAGTCTTTTTCTCTAAGAAATGTGACAACATGTGGTAAATTAAATCTACCCCTAAATATTGACTGAGTTCGTAGAATACACTTAATATGGCCTGTTAAAGACTTTGCTAGCTGCTTTCACACGACAAGAACGTTACTGAAAAGGGTTTGGATGTGGGACAAATGACTGTCCAATGTATAGTGTGGAACAGAAAATGGGTTAATTCAGCAGCTACGCTAATCATATAAGAACCTAAACATATCATGAATTCAGAATGAGAAGTGATCTTAAACGCTTCTTTGCATTTAATGTGCAATCTATGTAAAAAAAAAAGTAACAAACAAGAATTGGGGAGGAATCACAATGACGAGAGAATTATAAAAGTCAGGGAAGGGTTACCTCAGGGATCTTCAAACTTGGCCCTTTTATGACTTGTGGACTTCAACTCCCAGAATTCCTCAGCCAGCGTGCCTGGCTGAGGAATTCTGGGAGTTGAAGTCCACAAGTCATAAAAGGGCCAAGTTTGAAGACCTCTGGGTTACCTGGTGGTAAGATGGGCAGCCTGTATATTTAATAATAAATAACCATAAAAAGGGAAAGGGGAATGTCACCATTTCTTCCCATGCTGTCTTCCTGAGAGAAAAAAGTGGCTCTGATCCTAGTTTCTGTGCTGGGAGTTCCCTTCCCCAAAATTACAACATTCAGAGGATTCATACTCATTTTTCTTGTCTTTGGCAACATTCAGGACAGGAGCTCTGGCCTGTTCATTTTGAGGGAGTGACTGGGCCAATGTTGCCACAGGGCTTCATAATTAAGGAGGATTTCTAAATTTTCTCTCCCTTCTAGCCTAATTTCACTTGAGGGTCACTGGCTATGCTGCTGCAACAGCAGGAATTGTGGATAATAATAATAATAATAATAATAATAATAATAATAATAATAATAATAATAATAATAATAATAAAGTTGGAAGGGACCTTGGAGGTCATCAAGTCCAACCCCCTGCTCAGGCAGGTAACCCTATACCATTTCGGACAAATGACTGTCCAGTTTCTTCTTAACAACTTCCAGTGTTGGAGCATTCACCGCTTCTGGAGGCAGGTTGTTCCACTGGTTAATTGTTCTGACTGTCAGGAAGTTTCTCCTTAGTTCTAGGTTGCTCCTCTCCTTGATTAGTTTCCACCCGTTGCTTCTTGTCCTGCCTTCAGGCGTTTTGGAGGATAGCTTGACTCCCTCTTCTTTGTGGCAGCCCCTGAGATACTGGAAGACTGCTATCATGTCCCCCCTCGTCCTTCTCTTCATTAAACTAGACATACCCAATTCCATCAACCTTTCCTTATATGTAGTATTAACCTGTCTACAAGATACCAGATTCTAATCTAAGTTTAACTGAATCTAAACATGAACTTAAATCTGACTTCATGGATGGATCTATTGTAAAGAACAACTTATGACCACAATTGGGGCCAGAATTTCCATTGCTAACATGACCCCAGGATGCTGCACTGTCATAAAGACGAATCAGTTGCCAAGCACCTGGATTTTGATGACGTGACAATGGGAAGGTATGACAGTTGTAAATTTGAGAGCGGGTTGTAAGTCACTTTTTCAGTGCCTTCATAACCTCAAACAGTTGCTAAACAAATGGTTGTAAACTGAGGACTGACTTCCTGTACTACTCTACAATAGACCCATCTTTGAAGTCAGGTTCATTTGACTCTTTGGTGAGTTTTTTTCTCTGTTTTGCCATCCTTACGTCTCCCTTTGCCCCCTGGTTGGTCCAAATGATGCACATTACAGGCCACCCTCGACTTACGACCATAAGGGAGCTCAAAATTTATGTTGTTCAGTGAGACATTTGCTAAGTGAATTTTGCCCCATTTTACAACCTTCCTTGCCACAATTGCTAAGTGAATCATTGCAGTTGTTAAGTAGTAGGACCCAGTTGTTCAGTGAATCTGGCTTCTCCATTGACTTTGCTTGTCAGAAGGTTGCAAAAGGGGATCCCGTGACACTGCAGCTGTCATAAACATGAGTCAGTGGCCCAGCATCTGAATTTTGATCACGTGACCGTAGAGAGGCTGCAGTGGTTGTAAGTGTGAAAAACGGTCATAAGTCACTTTTTTCAGTGCTGTTGTAACTTTGAACAGTCACTAAACAAACTGTTATAAGCTGCAGACTACCTGCGTTTTCCTGAAAACACCCCTTAGGAGAGAAACCCAGAAACCCCAAAGTATTACAGCTGAAATATGAAAATAAAGTTGTGCCTGAAGGATCCTTTTGAATCCCACCTACAATGGCGAGGGCAACCTCCTGTGGCCAAAGAAATGCCTTTGGGATAGTCAAGAGAAGAAGGGCAGGACGGAGCTGCTAAATACGAAGGCAACTTTTACCTCCCTTGACTAATAAGATTTTGTGTGTACTTACCTTCCTCGGCACCATGTTCTCTGCTTTATGTTTCCTCCCTGGCAGACTTGGCATAGGTGACAAGCCTTGTGGCACTGACAAGTCCTGTGGCAGGGCCACAAGACTAACACCCCTTGGTCTTGTGGCGTTGAGAGCCACGCGTCCTTCTATTCCTCACGGGACAGAGATTCCTGCTCTTTTCCTACCAAAACAGACGGTGCTTATCATTGGTAGGAACTACTCTCCTCTCCCTGACTGAAGGCTTCTGTTCTCTATCCATTCAGATCTATTTTTAAACCCAGCCTCCAGGGGCCAGGAATGATTCACTTACAGCATTGCTGCGGTATAGGCCTTCTCTCCCTGCAGCTAGGCTCCCGTAAGCCTTCCAAATCTACTTAGCCCCAGCTTCCTCCCATTGGAGCCCACAAGGGGCAAAAAGGCACAACTCTCACTCATCTTCTTCCCAAATACGTGTCACAACACCCCACAATACAAACTACCCAACACCTTGTGTGAATCCAACTGGTGAGATTTTGGGATAGCGTATATAGATTTCCGCAACCCAAATAAAACCTTCTATTAAGCTATCGGAATAATCATTTGTCCGAGTTGGGTAGGTTGGCAAAATGAACAAACCATAAATGCCAGAGATAATTTCCATGCTTAATTTCTGACAAATGTGCAAGCTGACATTCATGAGGTTCTATTCATGGACACTGAAGGCAACAGCGTTTAAACATGAATATTGGGAGGCAACAACACACATGAAGCAAAACAAAACAAAAAAAAGCAAAGAGCAACATGATACTGGCGTTTTAAAGTTTTGGCTACCGGAAATTCTATTTGTCTCTGATTTCTGGGCTTCTCACAAAAGCTAACGTATGTTTTGAAACTTTTAATCATGAGAGATAGAAACATGTTTTTTTCTATGAAGGAATTTCAGGATTTTGCCAAAGTTATTGAACATGCCTTCAGGAACTAAGTTCAGAACTTTATGTGGAACTCTTTGTAGATCACATTCTAAAAAAACCTGCATATGTTAACACACCAGACTGAACTTAAACAAAATAGACTTGAAATTTGTAATAAAGCAAAGAAGCCCTGACTGTAGTTAAATCTTCATTAGTAAAAAAACAATTCTTCTTGTTAGGGACAAGATGGAAATTGTGATATTTGATTTATCCCAGCCCTATGATTCAAGTGCGTGACATTTTACCTGTATAAAACAGCTGTACAAAATGGAAAACATGAATGTCTGCAATGATATTCATGACAGGCAACTAATGGAAAGAAAACATCTAAATCTCAAATACTCAGAGAACGTAAATACACACAAACTGGCCACTGCCAACATTAAGACAAAATGGGTAGCTGCCTGTTTACTCTGCTGTACAAATGGAAGATGAACACTGTTTTGAAAAAAGTACATGGAAGTGAATAAATCTATAATAAGTGCAGAAGAGAGCGACAATAAATGTACATGCACACAAAAATGCCAAAGAAAAGAAACTCTGGTTGATGTGCAGCACTCACAACCCTGGTTGCACCCCACTGGACAGTAAGCAGACTATATAATAGTGTCATACCCCAACTGGGCGCATTCCCCAATCATGAAATGTATTGAGTGTTTAAAGACCCACTTGCACACCATGTTCTACATCCCACACACCCAGTGGGATATTCACGATACACTTTCGTACAGAAACACCCTGGGCTGCTCCTGATCGCAGTTTTCACTGTCTTCACGCAGGTTTCCCAGCTGAAAAGCATAGCTCTCCATCATTCCCCCCCCCCAAGGAAGGTGAGTTGAGATCTAGCCAACCCTCCTGCGATGGGGCTAGTAGATCAGGGTGTCGGGGCTCTCTTCCCTTCCTCCCTTCCGCGCGCACTTCCGCACTCACCTGCAGGATACGGTGAGCTCCACCTTGGTGGCTGGCACCCGGGAGGGAGCGGACTCCAGGGCTCCCGGAGACGCCATCTCCGCCGCCAGCCGCCCGAAGCGCTAGGGGGAACGCGGGGCGCTCTCCATGGGGTGGGAAGGCGGCAGGAGACTCCTTCGATCGCCGCTCCGGCTTCTCGCTCGGTCTAGCCGCGTCCGCTCCCGCGCCAGGTGGCAGCACGTGTTGCGTATTGGGGGAGGAGGACCCAGAGCCGGGCAGGGCCACGACTCTCCCGCCTTTTCCTTCCGCCTCGCCCCCGCCCACCGCCGCGCCCAGGAGCTGTCCGAGGTGCTGAACCCATCGGCGGCGGCTGCTTGCAGAAGAGTCCTTGCCTGGAGAAAGGGCGGCCCCTCCTCAAAGCGGCGTCCTCGCCCTTGCAGCTCCGCCTCCAAGAGAAGGAAGAGGCGGGGGGGAAAGAGAGGCGGCAGGGGCAGGAGACCGAGGCTCACCCTCCTTTCCCCCTACCCCTTCTTTCTTGGTTTCCCCTACTCCCGGGCCAATTTGAAAGGTCCGCCCTTGTTCATCAGAGGCCCGGCAAGGCTACTAACAGCTAAGAGGAAGGCGGAGGAGTAGCCCAGCGCAGCGCGACCCGGGGCTCCGCCTGTAAGCTCGCCCAAAGCCATCAAAGCGGGAGGCGGGAGCAGGGACCTTGCGAGTGGAAGTCCACTCTGACCGAGGGATTCGAGCTAGCTTGGACTCGGTTTTTTTTTTTTGGGCGACTGAGATAAACTTGGGGAGAGACTTTGTAGCTGCTGCTCCGGTGTCCTAGAAGCAGAGCGTGGCTGAGTTTTGGAAACCGAGCCTCTCTGACTGATAACTCAATTCTCGTTTATTCGGAAGGGCTGATTGCCCTCTTGCCAGACTTTGCAGGCTGCCTGCTCAGCTACGATGCTGGAACACATGATTGTTATCTGATTTACTGCAATTCGTCTGAGGCCACAGGGCAAGGAAGCTTATTCTCAAATATGCTGAGGAGTGCACCCTTGAATGCCATAGCATGCATACGAGGATCTGTGCTTACTCAAAAGCAGAAGTTCAGTTTCACACTAATAGGTCCAAATCATGAATTGAATGTTGGTTCTGGATTCCCTGAGTGTCACAGCAGTACAGCAACAAATGAAAAATAACATGCTTGATACAGAGTCAGCATTTTGCCACAGCCCCTTTTATGAACCCGTCAAGCTTTTTTTCCCTTTCCTTTCCTTTCCTTTCCTTTCCTAAGGTCCCAATTCTGCTGTGGGCAATTAGCTTCCATTAAAGAGGAGAAAAGCGCGTGCAATTCTCCTGCAATAAAACTCATGCAATTCTTCTGCAAATCAAGATAACAAGGAAGTAATTCCAGCTTTGTTTGATTTCTTTTTTTTTTAACAGCTTAACATCGTGCTGCTTTTGCTCAATCACCTCTTATCAAAGTTTGAGGGGAAACATAAAATAGAAAATTCCTGCCATTAATAGGCTTCATTACTGATGCTATATTAATCAGAGGAAGGGAAAGACTGATTGGGTCATCAGTAAAGAATGTGACCTGATTTCATCAGCGGCTCATCTTATTCTCAGGAAGAACACGGCAGTAGCTTTGTCAGCCTGCACCTGGTGCTCTCCCATGAATCCCATTCTGCGTGATCTATGGCAGGGGGCTTTGGGAATTGCAGTCCAAAAGCTCTTGAGGGCCCAAAACTGTCTATGGGTAGAGATACTTATCAGTCATCTAATCCAGCTCTCTCAGATGTGTTGGACTTCAAACTCCGTAATTCCCTGCCAGCACGGGTAAGGGAATTGCAATCCTGCAACTTTGAAATGTAGCCAAGTACAGAGAGCTACTCCAATCAAAAGTGCTGCTTTATATAGTAATACATCATACGGTTATTGCAAGCTCTTTCTCCAAAATTTCAACCAAATGCCAGGGCAACTCAAATGCTTAGAAGCAAAAAAAAAAAAAAAAAGAGCATTTACATTTTACTTTCCCCCCTTTTAAATGTGAGACCTTATACTCAAGGCGGGGGGGGGGGGAGAAAGCACTCTTATCTAGGCTAGCATTAAAATATAATTGATTTCTTCAGTGGTACAGAAAAGGCACTAGAGAACATGCTTCCTGAAAAAACCTCAGCTTTCATGTGAAACAAAACAAAGAAAAAGCATTATTTAAAAACAAATGGGTATTGCCTGCCGAGATCTCGGCAGCCACAATAACGGCCAAATCAGATTTTCAGTGAGTGGGATAACATAGGAAGAGTTCCATTGTTACATGATTAGCAAGCCCATAATAAATTATGCCAAATAATGAAACTGCTCAGTTAAACGAAATAGACAAGCTTGATTCACAGGTACAGAATTATGAATGATCAAATGTATGTTTTGGGGGATGCAATCTAGATTTCTTGGAGCCAGAACTCACAGGTTATCTAGAAATGGAGAGAATTCTGCAGCTGATCTGAAGGAGAGCCCAGATGAACACCTGAACTTCCATTAACAGCTTCTTTGTTCACCCCAAAGAACTCACATTCTAAGTAGCATTTTTTTTTTAAATCCCTCAGAGCCATTCCAGGCCAGACTCAGTACAGGAGGTAGGTAAAGGGCAGGGGTCTTGAAACCTGGCCCCTTTATGACTTGTGGACTTCAACTGCCTGGCTGAGGAATTCTGGGAGTTGAAGTTCACAAGTCCTAAAAGGGCCAAGTTTGAAGACTCCTGGTGAAGAGGAAGCAAACACACACACAAGAGCCAGAACGAGGAGGTTTTGACACATTTTACTGGTGATTTGTCAGTGCTTGCCAAGTCTAAAAGACTGAGGAGGGAGACCCTTTGTTTCCAGTGGAAATCAGCCCAGCTTGAAATAACACCGACTGCCACCACAGTCAGTCAGATGGACCCGGAAGAGCTGGAAGTCTGGGAGCCGTCCAGGAGACGATCTGGCAGCCAAGGGCTCTGACACAGACCAGGAGCTGGCACTTGGGGGTGGGGGTGTCACATGGCTTTGAGGTTCCTTCACCGGTGGGATTAGATGGTAACCCCCTTCGGCATGATGGGCAGGCAGACGAAATGTCAAAGGACATTGCTCCCTCTGAGTCCTACGCCCCGAACAAATTGCTCCAGAAGGCCCCCGATGGCTCCCGATGAGCTGGGCGACGCTAATTTCAGGCCCACGGTGCTGTTGTAGGCAGACAAGAACGTTGAGCGCACCTCCTGAAGACGGGATTCCCTCTCTGTCAGAGTCACCAACCTGTAAGGATATCAATAATGCTGTTTACGTGGCCATTTTAGGAGGGTCAAAGAACTTCACACAAAATCCATACGCTGACCGTACACGACTGTGCCACTACCCTATATCCATTCCATGGGGCAGGTGGACGGGAGGGGCTGAGATATATTGGCTTTCTTTTGTTGTTAGTTGCGAAGTCGTGTCCAACCCATCACGACCCCGTGGACAACGTTCCTCCAGGCCTTAGCTGCCTAAAGAGGTCTTAACCCCTGAATTGGGGCAGGTGGGTTCTGGTTTACAGCTCCATCTTAAACATTAGCTCACAAAACACAGGTGCAATATAGAGATACTGATATAGCTCAGAAGACGATTAACTATTCATAGTTATTTCCCAGACCTCTTATGGGGAAGAAGAGGAATAGAATTGTCAAGATGCATGTGGCTTCTTCTATCTATCTTTTGTTTTATGCACTTTGATGCATAATTAAATGGGAGTTTATGACCAGGAGATGGTCCAAAAGCAGAAGCCATTCCCCAGGAAAACTGTCCTGCTTGGGGGAGGCTTTTTTGCCTGCACTACCACCGCTACCACTGAGAGGGATTCAAAGAGAAGAGAATCGGCGTCTGCTCAGATGCACTGAATTCCTCGCCAGTGACATGAGCTGTTCCCCCCCCCCCAAACGCTGCTGGTTTTCACAGCTTGCCTTAGGAAGAAGCTGCACGCAAAAGGAAGGCGACACAGGAAGTGGAAGATGAAAGGTTCTTTGGGTGGGCATGAGATAAGCTTGTTCTGGAAAAGTCCTTTTTTAAAAAAATAAATAAATAAAAATCCACGGCTATTATGAGGAGTTCAGGAGAACGTGACAGCCAACAAGGTGAACCCAGAATTTGCATGCCCTTTGACCAATTATCGGCTCAGTAGGAGAAAGCCTCCTTTCCCCCCCAACCGTTCCTCTTGCTTGCAAATTTGCCACGCCAGCCTCACAGGGTCCACATTCCACCTGCCCTCTCCTGCTGCTGAGTAAAAGAGGAAGGCTCAGCCCTGGGGGTGGGGGAAGGCAGAGCCCCCCCTCCCTCCAAACAAATCTGTTGCCTCTTCCTCCACCGTCTCTAAAGGAGTGCTGTGGAAGCAGGAAGGGCGACTCATGCTCTGTCCTGCTGGCTGAGCTGTCATCCAAGTACTTTGGGATGGCTGGCCGCAGCTCCAATAATATTAGCAACGGCACAAACTCTTCTTCCCTCCGCCAGGAGCATCCTTTCCAGAGTGGGAGGAGGAGAAGGAGAAAACCCCTGGGATTTCCAATTTTGCACCTAAGAGCATAAACCTATATTCCCTCCTTCCCCACCTCCCTGCCACTCTGTGAAAAAGTCAGGGACCGCAGGAGAGGTGCTTTATGTGTGGTAAGGCCAGGCTTTCCTCTCTCGGTGGCCTGCCTCCTCTCCATCTGATCTATGTACTAATGGGGGGGGGGGGAGAGGAGAGGAGGGAAGGGGGAGGGGAGGAAGAAAAGCAAGCAACTCATTCCAGATGAGAGAAAACGCTAAGGGAGATTACGGTTCAAAGGCATCTGTTCTAAATGTCTTAATTTAAAAAAAACAAACAACAACATCTTTACGGTGTTTGAAGACTGCAGCTCTTCCTTCTTTCTCTCAAAGAGAATCAGGTCTTCCTCCCAAGAGGTCATCCCAAGGGTATGGCACACAACCTGCCCATCAACAATTCCCTTTCATCTCCCCGGTGTTTCACAGGCTAGGAACCGGCACTGTTAATTTGAATGGAAGCAGTAGAAAACCACCCACTGCCACCAGCTTCGCGTCCGGAAAGAGCAGCGAGAGGATACGGTGGAAGGCTTGGATTAAAAAACAAAAACAGAGGTCCAAACAGAAAGGCAGCCAGGCGGGTTTGCTATTTATCCTGTCAGCTTCACAAATACAGGAGTCAGGAAAGAGAGAGAGGAGGGGGAGAAGAGTGAGAGGAAAGGGATTTATCTTCCAGCTTCCCCATCGCGTTTGCAGGATTAGCAGATGGAACTCTCTGTTACATGACGAAACATTTCAAAACAGAGCTGGTGTATCTGAGGATCTCATGTCACAAATCCCACTATTCTAATTCAAGGACCCACTCAGCAGGTGCAACCGAGAAGCCCAAATTCTTTGCATTGTCTTCCACTAAAACCAGAAGCGCATAAATAATATCTCTTTTGCCTAGCTATCATCTAACACTTAGACCAGTGGTTCTCAACCTGTGGGTCGGGACCCCATTTGGGGTCAAACGACCATTTCACAGGGGTCGCCAAACAACGCAGTCCGCCATTTTTTCCCCCTTTTCCTTAGCTGTGCTACTGCCTTTTATTCTATTGGCTTTCAAAAGCCAATAGGAATTGTCCAGGCTGTCTCTGCCCTGCTGAGCCCGCCAAAAGTCCCATTCTGCAAATGGTGCTGCAAGTTGTCTGCAGCGAAGGCGAGCTGTCTGGAAGCTTCCACCCCTCCCTGCTGAGCAACTACTAAAAATGTAAGTAAAAGAGGGCCAGGGGTGGGAGGTGGGAGGCCGGCGGGCGCAGGGAGGGTTGCTGGCGCGTGTGGGGCCCAGCGGGTGCCTTACCTCCCTTGGGCTGGGCCAGCTGGTGGCCCAGCTGGTGGTCGGCCTGCTCCGTCTCTGCCGCTTGCCAGCTACGCCTCGGCCAGCGCAGGGGGCGGCACCACGCATGTATGGCGCTCCCGGGCAGGGAAAGTCCTTGACTTACGACCGGTTGGGGGTCGCGGCATTCAAAAGGTTGAAAACCACTGACTTAAGATGATTCTCTGGGTTCATAGCCTCTGTTAGGAGGATGCTGTGGCAGGAAAATTTTGGTCCAGTTTCAGCTGATGCCCCAACGGTGAACAGGATGGATGGAAGACAACCATTCCTGACCTTGTCATCTCCTAGCTACGCGGACCAACCCTTGGAAAAAACCCTGGAAA